GTTACTTGCTTGGTCATGATGACCTCTCCTGGCAGTCTCGATGAGGTTCGAATCAATGTCTTGTTTCCCGCAGCATTTGGTCCGTTAATAGTATTCGGCTGACATGTGAGTTGTATGTTGGTGTGCACAGTCAGCACTATTCCCATAGTGCCGCTGTTACCTCTCCTTTGAGGCATGTCCAGCGATGATCGTGCATTGCCGAGAGACCCACAGACTCCGACTCTCCGAATCATATCAACACTTCTGATTTGTTAAACGTGGTCTGATGAAACAGTATGCAAGGCATTTGGGCTGTGCGGGATGGAACCTAATCACTGGCGAGATAACCAGATTTGTGACATGAATCGAGTCATTTAAATTCTCTTGTCTTCGCAAAGCCCTCAGGACTTCCTAATGTCTTTTGCTCCTAAGATGAAAATGGATCTCTTGCTAGACAAAGGCCTGACCCTGAGTTGGACTCTGGCCATCCAGATCCTCTTAGCAACCATCACCTCCATCATCATCTACCGCCGCCACCTCCACCCCCTCTCCCCCATCCCCGGCCCACCCTTCGCCTCCATCTCCCGTCTCTGGCACATCTACCACATCCTCAAAGGCGACCAAAACCTCCAGCTCGTCTCCCTCCACAAAAAGCACGGACACTTTGTCCGCCTCGCCCACAATGAAGTCTCCGTCTCCCATCCCGACGCCATCAAGAAAATCCTCGGGAGTCAGCTCAAGAAAGGTCCCTGGTACCGCATGACTGCCATTCCAGACTACCGCTTCCAGAGTCCCATGGCGACCACCGACCCAAAAAAGAAAATGGAGAAAAGCAAGGCTTTTGCTTCGGGGTATGCCCTCACCAACGTGCTGCGGTCAGAGCCTCAGCTCGACAACGTCATCTCTTTGCTTCTTGGCCATCTTGATGGTTTTGCCAGGACGGGGAAGGAGGTGGGTTTGGATAAGTATTTTACGTTCACTTCGTTCGATGTAGCGGGGGAGATCCTCTTCTCGAGTCAATTCGGTTTCCTCGAGACAGGGACTGATGTCGGTAATGCGATTGCGAATGGGTACTGGCTGTCAATGTACGCGTCTGCCATGGCGTTTTTTTATCACATCCACGTCGCGTTATTGGGGAACCCGTTTATCACCTGGCTTAATATCCTACCGTATGGACATCTCTTTGATACAGCCATCAAAGCGATGAAAGCCCGTTTACAGGACAAGAGAGACGAATCGAGGTTTGATAGTGTGGAGTATTGGTTTAGGGCGATGGAGAAGCATCCTGAGAAGATAAAGTGGAGGGATGTACAGGCTGTTACTGTCAGTACGGTGGGAGCGGCAAGTGAGACTGTTAGTTGCGCGTTGCAGAGTTTTGTGTACTACATGATACGGACTCCTGGGGCTTGGGAAAGGGCTAGGAAAGAGGTGATCGAGCTGCAAGAGAAGGAAGGGGGACGAGAGGAAAGGGTGGTTAGCTGGGGGCAGGCGAAGAGGTTGGTTTATCTGCAGGCTTGTTTGAATGAGGGACTGAGGATGTTTGCACCTGTGCCGATGAACTTGCCTAGGGTGGTGGGACCTGAGGGATTGGAGATCGGGGGGAGGCGCTTTGAGAAGGGGTCGATTTTGTCTGTGAATTCTTGGGTTATGCATTTTTCGGACGAGATATGGGGGGAGGACGCCGGGGAGTTCAAGCCAGAGAGGTGGTTGAGGGAGGATGCAGGGGAGTTGGACAGGTGGTTTATGCCTGTGAGTGAAAGCCTTTAGTGATGTTGTTATGAAAACTGACTGACTGATGTGTACAGTGGGGTTATGGCTACAACTCTTGTCCCGGACAAAATATTGCAAGACTTGAATTGAGCAAGATTGCGGCCACGCTGGCCAGGGACTATGACATCTCACAGGTAAATCCGGAGCAGGAGTGGAAGTGGCAAGCCTTTTTCACGGTTGTCCAACACTCGTGGCCTTGCTACATCAAAGCCAGGAAGACCATAACCAATGAATCAAGTTGTAAGGTACCTTGGCGTTAAAATCGTGAAGACGGTATACTAGCAATACAAACAGCTGGTATTTACATAGGTACTAGGTACCTAAGTTGCGTTTTCTATGAGCATACTAAGAACGCTATGGCAAAAGCTAACTGCCTATTCATCAACGCAACCTCCTGTGGCCGTCTGCCTTCAATCTGTGTACCAATTGAATGCCATTAGGCATCTAATCCTTTAAGTCTTTCGTCAGCTGAATCAACACTTGGGCGTCTTTGGCGGCTATTTGATCCGGCCTCCCGATGCTGTTCCTCATCCTAGACAGAAATTCGTGCAGGTCGAAAGAGTCAGAATCCTGCATGGATTCCAAGTCCGCCACCAGCGAAAACGGAAAAATCAGTAGTGCCGAGTCACACCTGCCAGATGCTACTGCCTCGAAGAAATTGCAGTGCCCGTTGAAACAGCTCGTAAACAAATCGAGACTTTCTTGGGGCACCAAATATGTTCCTAGGAGGTCTTGCAGCGCCCTGGTACTTTTGTGTGAAAGAGAAGACAGATGGGGCAGGATGTCTTTCAGTCTCTGTAGGCTCTCATGATGTCCGATCTCAGCAGATAGCTTCAAATGTCTATCCGCTAGCTCGTAAAAGAACTTGTCCCAGATCAGGATTTGAGGTCTGTCGTGATCCTAGTTCTCGGGGTGAAGTGAACAAAGTCGAATCAGCTGAATAAAGTTCTCGAGGGGGTAATCCAACCACGATTTTATGCCATCATGCGTATCCCATATAGTCCGCAGGGTGTTGAAGTCAATCATGTTTTCCAAAGGAGCCAGCCATCTCTTCCGTGCTGATTTTCTTTCAGGTAGTTGTGTCAGGTCTGGCACAGCCTCGGTAGGGCGATCCTCACCGTTCGGCAGTTTGCCCATTTGGTGCAAGACGCCAAAACAACTATCGCAACAAGTGATGGGGAAAATGAAAGGCACAAATCTCTCCCTACGCTCGTGATCAATACCATAACTCCTATGGGGTCGAAGCAAAAACATCTGTAAACATTCCTGCTCACCACAGATGCAGCAGTCGTGAAGGTCTTGCGCGTCTACCTGGAAGTCGTCCCAATTGGGTCGCAACAGAATGGATTTCTCATCCAAGACGGGAGTGCTTACATCCTTGACATGGACGTAGCTATCCCCGTCACCCGAATGTGACTCATGATCCAAGGTAACGGATGATGTTGACCTCCCGACGGTCGCCGGCGAGGGTGGATCACGTCGTTCCGACTTCCCGTTCGCTAACTTTCCGCCTTTCTCGGGAGGCGATGTGATGTATCTAAAAGGAGTTGAACACTCATCATAATCATCGGACTTGGTAGGCCTCTGAGAAGCGGCCTCAGCATGCCAGTGCCTCTGTTTTTCTTGCCACTTGCCCTTTTGTGACATTTTTTCCAGAAAGGTGACGGATTGCGCAGAAGTCGAACAAGCCTTGACACGCGCTCGAGTGTCTCGGTGTTCCTGTCGTAAATGTGCCTTCATGGATTCAATATCAACCGTCTGGGTGAACTTATGTTGCTTCAATGCAAGCCACATGGCATTGGGCTTCTGGGTATCAGCACCGCTGGCATCGAATGCGTCTTGGAGAATGGTCCTGAGGTAAACAGAGCTCAGATTGATGCCGGCCTGGGCAGAATCAACTCCCTTCGCCAGGGCTGTTCGGAGCGCTTCAGAAAGCCTCTCTCCGTCCCCTGCGGTCTCGGAAGTAATAATCATGGCGTCAAGGGCAGTGGCGGAGCCAAGAAAATCAAAAATCTCGTCAGATGGCAGCGAGTGACTGTAAAGATCCTCCATGTTGATGGTCTCGCCGTCAGGAAGCTTGATGACATGACGGTCCGGTAGCTATGGCTTGGGAATGGAGACCTTGACCAAGTCATCATACGTGATTTCAACCAGATCTTCCCATTTCGGATCTTTACACAGTCGAGTGACCCGCCGCTCGTTAGGAATAACTCTCGAGAAATGACCCTTGGCCTCGAAGACTGAGACGATGCCGGTCTGAATATCATGAAACAAGAAGATGGCGTGGGGCGCAATCCCATAAACGGATATGCCGACTGAGACATTGCAGTGGAAGGGTGACAAGTGACGGTGTCTGTGTCCAAAGAAAATGACTACTGCAGCAATACCGTGGACGCCATTTTCGCGAAAGTGGCTGGTGAATTTCTGTAGCTCATCCCTTCCAATCTCTCCATCCATCATAAGAAACCATACCGGGGAATTCCGTAGTATCTTTAGACTTTCTGTGCCTTCAAACAACGCAGCCCGGTCTGGTCCCATACTTGTGCTTCAGTGTACCGATGGTCTTGCGATCACACGGAGGGTGGGCGATATAGTTCCAAGGGAGAATGGGGGATGACCACTGATCCTCAAGAAGGTCGGAGATCTTGATTATGGCGTTCTTATCTGCAACTAGAGCTCCATTCTGGTAGGTACTCCCAGAGACATCAACTGCAAAAGTCGGTATGAGTTTGGAGAGAGGCTTGTCCACACCAGTATCATCTCTGGTTTGGAGTGTGAGGGATCTGAAAGAACTTGAGGGTTGAGGGGAAGTGGCAGAAGGAGGAATTGAAATCGGAACTTGCATATTGATGTCTCCTGAGGAATCAGCGCAGAGCTTCTGACGTGACGCGGAGCGAAGATACTGACGGGAACAAGACATGAATAAAACCCCACATCGAGTGGTGAACCCATTTTAAGGGTCCCGGTGTCTGCAATGAACAACAAGCAGGGCACGAAAAAATTCCACATGGTCAGAGTCACGAAAACCGAAACCAAACATAAAAATAGGGAGAACACCCAAACATGACCCCTGAACCCCTGAATCATCTGTGGACCCACTACCACACCCATACCCCCTATGTTTGGTCACACCACAAACCAACATTGATCTCACAATCATCCTGCCACACGTGTTTTAGGCAGTCATCTCTGCAGAGAAACACTTTTTTTGTACTACAAACTAAGATACACTGACAAGCATCTCCTTGACATTCTTGCCTCCCACACGAACACTCGCCGGCTGCCACCCTCGTGAACCAACCGACTTCGCAACCAAACTTATCTTCTCCCCCGGCCACAAAGTGACAAAATTATCCTCCCAAGTCAACGGCAAAACATCATTCCCACCCCCATCCAACAACTCCAAACCAACAAAAAACGCCGGCACACTAGCCCGATTCTCCAAATTAACCACAACCTCTTTCTCACCCCTCCTCTCCACCCCAACTGTCACCTCCGCCTCCTTGAGTGTATTAAACTCCTTATAATCCGCATACCTCCCCACCGGCGTCACAAACCAAGTCGTCTCCCCCCAATCCAACCGATCCAGCTCCTTACTCAACCAGTACACATTCCGAC